CCCCTACCGAGCCTAGGAAGAATCAATTGGGAGGAGATCTTAGAAAAGAACCTTAGTAGCCAAGGGAATTTGATTAAGGGCTAAGAGGTAACCCATGTCTTACAAAATCTATTTTCCTTGCTATTGTTTATTGATTGGCTCCGTTAGTTGATTGAATGTGTGATTTTGTATGTATATCTTGTTAGAGCATGTCTTTAGGTTTATATGGTGAATTATTGCTACTCTTGATATTTTTGATGTCCTTGTGTGGTTATTAGTTTGATCTTGTATTTAATTATGTCTAGAGCTTGTCCCTAGGGTTTATATCGTGAATCTCGTGTTGTGATGTTCTTGGTATTCTTGGGTTGGTTTATGCATGCTCGAGTGTTGATTCTAGTCTAGGACTTGTCTTTAGGGCTTTGCATATAGATTTCTTGATGTTCTTGAGGTTCCGGATGCTCCTGAACCATTATGTGATTGATGTCGAGTCTTGGCATGTTTAGGAATCGTGTTAGAATGTAATTGGAAAGATTCTTGATTCAATCTTTGTTAATCGAATTCGTGTTGTTGTTGATACGTGTTGGAATGTGTTTGGACATGGTTCTGGGTTCCACGAACAAACACCAAACCAAATATTTACCTTCGTACCAGTGGGGGGTAGGTGGGGGGAAGCGAACCCCCACCACCTACCCGCGGCCCTGACTGCCCAATTCTAGCGGGCAGTCGGCGGGTAGTCGACTGCCCGCCGGGCACCCGCTGGAAACTTGACTGCCCACCGACGGGTGGCCGACGAGTGGTCCTCCACCCGCCGCCCACCCATTGGAATATGGTGGTGCGGTGGGCTGTTTTTCCCCGTTTGTTGTTTCCCCGTGTCCCGTGGTACCCCGTTTGATGTTTATGAGTCTCGTATGATGTTTTGAGTATCGTTCTAGGAATTTGTATGTAGCATGTGTCGCTTGTTATTGTACCTTGATTGTTATTGTTGATTATATGATTGATTGATTGATTGATTGATTGATTGATGATGGGTATTGTGATCATTGCGCAATGATGGTTGAGATCGATGATAATGAAATTGTGATTGATGGAAATGAATTATTGGCGAATAGCACAGCGAGTGCTCGGTTATCGTGCTAAAGGCACGGACCACCCCTTAGACTTGCTGGCTAAAGGCTTAGGTCAGTGTATAAGCGCCGCGGTGCCATGTCAGAGCTATATGCGCTAACCCCTTGATTATAGTGCTATAGGCATGGATCATGAGAATGGCACTTCGGTGCTACCATGTTGGTGGACTTGTTGGTGGTTTCGGTGTGGGGCATGCGTGCTCCGGAGCAATAAGGGAGGCGATATATGGGTGACCTGGAGGTACAGGTTGGAACTGATATAAGGATGTAGAGGAGTAAAGGTTGGAACTTGGTATAAGGTTGGAAGATTGATTGTGTGCTTTGATGATTACTTGCTAATTGATTGTCATTGGATCCCATTATTGGCTTTAATTTTCTATTTATGAGCTTACTTGTCTATTATGCCTTGCAAACGTAGGATGCATGCTAGTATCTCTATAATATCCGAAATGTTGCCATATTGATGGTGTCTCGAGTCTTGATCCTGGTTTTAAAACTAGAGTTGCTAAGGATTATATATGTATTCCAGTTTCAAAATGATTTCTTATATTTATATTAATTGTACTTAATGTGTGGGAGTGAGTTACTCAGCATTATTCGCTAACGGTTGCTACGACATATTTTTCAGGTGATAATCAGTAGCTAAGGAGCGCGCTAGTTGGACTTGTAGCCTTAGCTTAGTTAGTACTGATGCTGGCCTGCGTGCCTTGGCTTGTGTTTTGAACTTATGGATTTTATGTATTGGTTAGTTTAGCCTGTGCACCTAGGTTCTCAAGCCTAGGTGTGGCATAGCACCCCGACTCTCACGAATAGTTTATGCTCTGTTTGGATGTTAACGATGGATTGCGTTATTTATGTAAGCTTTTAAATGTTTTAAAAATTAGGGGTGTTACAACTTAGTTAAGGGAAAAAGAATACAACCCTAAACCTTCAAGGCATAATCGGCATAATATTCAGGATTTTGGGGTTTGTCTACTTAATCAATTATTTTGCAACTTTTTCCCATTTACATTACTATATCATACTCATGCCTCGTTAAAAATCTCACTAGAAAAACCAAGTGGAGAAAAATTAGTTGAGGAAAAGAGTGCATGATGTATGTGTATTCATGTTTTAGATTAGCTGCCTCGTTAAAAACTTTAGATTAAGAAAAAACCCCGTGGAGAAAAACTTAACTAAGGAAAAAGAGTACATCTGTTAGTTGTCAAGACCCAATCTTCAGGATTGATTCATGTAAAATGATACTCCCCCTCCAGATAACAATCTTTAAGTCCCATACATTAAATCTCCAAAATGTATAGAGGAATTTTGTAAATATATATATACAACTATCAATGAAATGAATATACTTTATAATAATTCCGTGACTCTTCTGGAGCTCACGTGGGTATAAAATTGACATCATAATATCTAGTCAAAAGGATTTCATTATATATCCTTTTATCAATTGTGCAACACAATCTTTATTGTCCCTTTATAGGACAATGAGGGTAAATATAGTACAACAGTTTTGGAACTTGGCATTATGGGGATACAAAAATAATAGCCAATACCCAAGTAGCCCATTGTATATTGACTTATCTAGGTATCCAATCAAAAATGATATATTGGCTAACTGGTGTATAAAAATTTCTTCAAGGAAAACCTCGATCTTCAAGTCGAGATAATACTTAGCTTTCCTAAGCTTTTTATTTAAAAAAAAAAATTCACGTCTTTAGACATGAACTGACATCATCAAGCTCTTTAGATATTTCATTGATGTTTAAACGATCAATATTGACTGAGATAATAAATAAATAAGTTCATTATGAACCCTTTATCGAGCACATAATGGTACATATTATTCCTTCTTCATGAGGATAATAACTCAATTCGCAATTCTTTAAAGAGTTCATAATGACACATAATAAATACATATTCCTTTTCTTCAAGAGGAAAAATTACTCAGTCAATTATTAACTGTTTCAAATCATATAAAGACCTTAATACTTTTAATGTTGCGATTTTCACTCTTTCTCATTTTGAGAACTTAAAATCCTTCGGGGACTTTTGAAATCAATATTAGTTGCATATCTAAGTTCATCATTTTGCGAATAATATTATGTAGCGGAACTTAATGCCATTTACCGTGGGAGAGTATATTTGATTAGAATCAATCAAGGGTATATACGTGAACTCATAAGGCTACAAACACACTTTATATCATATCACCTCGTTATTCTTATTTCTCTTTTGTGCACACACCCATTTGTAACCTTCAGGTTTAACACTCAACGGTGTATTGTTATAAAGAGAATATATATATATATATATATATATATATATATATATATATATATATATATATATATATATATATATATATATATATATATATATATATATATATTTTACCGAGTCGAGTTATGCCTTAATTACTCCTTTATACGTTAAATAGTCATGGCACTTTCGGTGCCTAACTCTGGATCCAGATTAGCATATAACGGAGCAATTTGTAATGGCAATTGTGTTGTCGACAACTATAATACTTTCATAAATATCTTCAATCTCTCCCATATTTATAATTGTTGATGGCAATATTTAAGTCAACCAGATTCTAGACATTTCCTAGGACTATTCAGATCACATCTGGTTGTCCCATATCTCTAGTATTATGTTTGTTTGGTGCACTTATGAATTAACTAGGGTTTCTCGTCATCTGGATGAACGTTTCAAGGACAAAATTAATCAAGCTTTTCTAAGAGTGGCAATTTTTATTTACACCGATGGATCTCCTATACTTCTGGCTTCAAGGAGTATCGGTAGATTTATTGTTCAAAGTTTGGGGAAGGTACATGGGACCTAGTCACTCTTTTATGATCAATATGATCAATAGATGTATTTGACAGATTATTTGCTAATATCGCAAATAGATTATTTTTTGAACTTCCAGTTCAGTTTAACTTGTACGTGGATTTCTTAACTGTAATTTTGCATATTCTCTTAATCTAGGATATTTGATTTACTTTCTTGCCAACTGGATAGTGAACTGATTAATACAGACTTACGATCAGACACTCATTCAGATAGATAAACAGATAGCGTAATGCAGAAGACTAAGGTAAAAAGTAAAAGCAACACACAAGTTTGTTTACCCAGTTCATATGGAGTCTTGGATGTGTCTGGTCTGAGATAGACTCAATTAATCGTATGTCATGCAGTGTGCACTACTTTAGCCCAGAAGCGTTGCGGCAGATGTGAGACATTCAACATTACTCTTGCCATTTCTTGTAGAGTCCGATTCTTTCATTCAACAATACCATTCTGTTGAGCTGTTCGTGAGGCAGAGAATTCATGTGCTATCCCATTTTCTGAGCAGAAATCTGAGTATAATGAATTCTCAAATTCCTTTCTATGATCACTTTTGAATCTTAGGATTTTGACAATGGATTTATCTTTTTTCCTTCTTAAGTCAAATGCACAAAGTTTTGAATGCGTCAAATGCCTCAGATTTTTCTCTCAAGAAAGATACCCAACAAAAATGTGAGTAATCCTCAACACACACAAATATGTATTTCTTTCCTCCAATGCTCTCAATTTGAGTTGGTTCGATAAGATGTATATGGACCAATTCCAAGCATCTTTCTGTAGTGATCATCTTCACTGCTTTATGAGGATCCCTGATTTGTTTTCCTATAGCACAAGCACCACAAACTCCTTCATGCTCCACCTTAAGCTTTGGTACCCCTCGAACAACATCAAGTTTGATCAGTTTGTCCATACCCGAAAGTTCATGTGACCAAATCGACGATGTCAAAGTTTTGATTCGTCTGCTTTAGTCATAAGACAAGTAGCATCATTTGTTAATATATAACAGTTATCAGACGAACGTGTACCTTCCATTATCACTTGATCTACCTTATCTCGAACACTACAGCAGTCTCGATTGAAACAGGCATTCCAATTCTGATCACACGGCTGACTAATACTTATGAGATTAGCTCGTAAACCATTAACCAGGAGAACTTCATCCAGATGAGGTAATCCTGGCACATTTAGAATGCCTTTGCCAACGATCTTACCCTTTTGACCTTCACCAAAAGTCACTGATCCACTACTAGGTTGAATAGACATAAGATACTTTGAATTCCTAGTCATATGTCTCGAACAGCCAAAGTCAAAGTACCATCTTGCTTCAGTCATTGCAGCTGTCAACACTATTGTAGGATAGTATATTACCTCAGATTTTTTGACCCAGACTTGTCTTGTGAAAGGGGTGATGAATTTATTTTGATACTTTTCCTCCCTTTGATCTCTGTAAAAGAAGTGACATCCAGGTTGACCTCTTGTCTGACAGTAGTGACAGGTAGGTACATACTGTCTGACCTTCACATATTTACCTTTGGATTTTGAATGAAGAGACTGGAACTTAGTATATATATATATATATATATATATATATATATATATATATATATATATATATATATATATATATAGGGTCCGGATCAGGTGAGGACCTAATCTTAGGTGAGGTCATGAGGACTAATCTAGACCATTAAATCAGAATGATGTATGGCTGAGATTAAAAGGAAAAAATCACACGGATTAAGAAAATAAACCCCTTGAAAATATTAAAATATATAAATTTAGGGTAAATCAGTCTTATTAAAAGATGTGCATTCCAATACAAAATGTTGTACATTCCTATACTGAGTGTTATGCATCGATAACTTTATTGTTGTGCATTCAAACCCCGCCAAAAAATCATACAGTGGACATCCCAATGTCCTACGATGCACTGAACTATGTGCTATAATGCACAACTCTCTAGCCTATAGTGCACAACTTACAACACTAGGTTGCACAATCAGCACACACGAATGCACAATCGTACTACCCAGGCATTTATACATATACACGACAATCCAAATATAGACAATATTATACTCAAAAGAACGAGCGAAAAAAAATAAAAAATACTGATCAGTTTGCATGGGCGAACACTCAATCAAGGATGAAGAAATCGCGGCTCCAAATTGCAACGGTGATGATCCAAGAAAATAGGAAACCAATTTGGCCAAGGATTACACATGCGTTCACACTTACAAAAAATATAGAAAAAGACACTACTACCCCACTTTAACAAAAAAGATCAATCCATGTCATCTCAAGAACTCAAATCTAGGCCATCCAAATAAAAAAAAAACAAACGCACAAGATTGGTCCTCACGTCCTCACCTAAGATTAGGTCCTCACCTGATCCGGATCCTATATATATATATATATATATATATATATATATATATATATATATATATATATATATATATATATATATATATATATATTCAGGCTTAGTAGCAGAGGCAGATGAACTTCCTTTCACAAAAACAGGTGCTAACATAGATGATTGACCCTTTTGATAACTAAGTCCTGGATTAAAGTAAGATGTATTCTCTTTCACAAACGAAGGAGCAGACTTAGAAGATTGTCCCCTCTCCAATCCAAGACATGTTCTATTTGTAATTTTGTGTGAATTGGTAGACTAATGACTTTTACCTACTTTTCTTGTCAAACAGTTGGTGTTCAAATATAACATAGACGATAGAATAGATAATCAATCAGATATACCACCAGATAAGATAAAGTGAGGAAAGGTAAATATGGAAAGCAAATCAACGCAAGATTTGTTTACCCAGTTCGATACAGTGTGTATCTACATCTGGGGGACGAACACCGATGCGTCCAATCCACTAACTCAACTTCCAAATTACAAAGGTGGAGAAAGATACAATCTCACCCGAGTGATCTACACAAGGTAAGTACCCAGTGTACTTGGATTTAGTGGATTGTTGAAGACGGAGATCCAGGCAGTCAGAGGTCTATGGAGTCCTTCCAATGGAGATCAATCTCTGATGCAGTCCGCGTCACTGACGTAGTCCTTTACTGTCTCCCACAGTTGCGTGATCTTCGCGTCCACTAGTTTAAGCACGCTGTTTTCTTCTCAAGTTCATCAACTCAAATCACCATTAAGTTCCAGTCTTGAGAAAAAGATGTAACCAGAGAATGAGATTTTGAATACAAGTGCTTTCAACAGAATGTAGAATGGATGATCAACCTCTTCCTGAATCAGCACTATGTATATATATCTCTAGTTGAATGGAGGTATCTGTAATTAGTTTCAACAAACAGCTTCTTAGTCAGATTACGTAAATACTATTTTGAGGTGTCCAAAAGAGTAAGGACTTGCTTGTAAAAAGACCTCAAGCCATAACGGCCTTCTACCAGCGCATACGCTCTTCATAGAACAGTCTTCTAACGTCTTCAAGTCTTCATCGATGCTTCTGATAGATTCCCTGATCAATCAGGTCTTCATTCTTGAGACTTCAGACTGACTCTGACTAAGCCTAATCTAATTTGACATAATAATAAAGCCAATTACATAGTTGGGGTTTAACTGTCTAAACAAAACACTAACACTATTGTTAGGATTACGACCAAAATCCAGGATTTTATCTAATGTTGAGGTGATGCCCATCATCTTGATGTTTTTTTTTTTTTTTTTTGAGATCCTCCAGCTCCTTTATCAGCTTTCACTCTCGAGATCTGATATGAGCAATAAGATCATCCTTCATGACTAGATCAGTATTCAGTTTCTTCAGTTGTTCATCACGTTGTTTCAGATCTTCATTCATATTTTTGTTGGCTTTCACCAGTTGTTCCCAACTAGCAACAAGTTTGGCAAATTCCATCTCTAGTTGAATAAGTCGTTCTTCAAAATCATCTAATGATATGTAGGACTCATCATTGTTTTCGTCATCTGAGTGAATTTCTGTTGCTATAAAGAATGCAACAAAGTTTCCAATATTTTCATCAGACATGTGATTTGTCGTTTCCTCTTCATCATCACTTAGTGTAGCCACAGACATGGATTTCTTTCTTTTCAGGTAGCTTGCACATTTAGTCTGTATATGTCCAAACCCTTCACACTTTCGGCATTCAACTGATCGATTCAAGGTTTTCCCAGAATCAGTGGATGCGTTTCTGAATTGACCTGATCGACCAGACTAGGACTGACCAGTCTTTTTTAGAGGAAGAAGATCCTGATTTCTGATATACGGGGTTTCCACCTTTGGATTGAATCCTATTAGATTGTCCTTGACTCCTTTGATTGAATCCTTTCAGAATTTTCTTGAAATTTTTTGTCAGTAGAGCAAGGGATTCATCATTGAAGTTCATAGGTGTGTATATTCCCCATAAGTTCACCTACACTTTTCTTTTCCAAGCCAGTATTTTCCTGAATTACAGTAACTTTCATCCTGAACCTTTTGGGTAAGGAACGAAGGATTTTCTTGACAACCCTTTCTTTAGTAAACGGCGGCTCCCCTAGAACAGAAGCTCTGTTCATCAGATCCTGAATGCGACTGTGGAAGTTAGATATGGTTTCTTCTTCATTCATTTTGAGGGCTTCAAAATCAGTGAGTAGTTGTGACCATCCAATTCTGGTGGTTTCATATTTGTGTCCATCCTGATACAGTCAGGAAGCCAGCCAGAACACACAGGCAGATAATTGACCAGACACCCCAACAGATAACCAAGCAAACAGATTATTAAGAGTACTGCAAAAAGTTTTTCCCGTATAGATCAAGTCAGTATGTAGACTTAAAAGATCTAATACCACATGTAATTTTGCATATTCTCTTAATCTATGATATTTGATTTACTTTCTTGCCAACTGGATAGTGAAATGATTAATACAGACTTATGATCAGACACTCATTCAGATAGATAAACAGATAGCGTAATGCGGAAGACTAAGGTAGAAAATAAAAGCAACACACAGGTTTGTTTACCCAGTTCAATACAATGTGTATCTACGTCTGGGGGACGATCACCGATGCGTCCAATCCACTAACTCAGAATCCAATGTACAAAGGTAGAGAAGAATAATCTCACCAAGGGCCCCACACAAGGTCAGTGCCCAGTCTACAAAGGTTTAGTGGATTGTTGAAGTCGGAGAGCCATGCATCCAGAGGTCTAATGAAATCCCTTCAATGGAGAGCTAACTCTGATGCAGTCCGCTTCACTGACGCAGTCCTACGTTGTTCCCACAACTGAGTGATCTTCGTGTCCATTGTTTAAGCACAGTTGATTCTTCTTAAGTTCATCTTCGTAATCACCATGAATTTTAGGTCTTGAGAAGAAGCATAAAAACAAGAGATGTATATCTTTTAATATTGAGAGCTGGGGCTTCAATCAGTTTAACCCTAACTTCTGAAAGTATATAAATATATATACTTCTTGACATAGTTGCTCTCCATATATGTACATATATATATATATATATATATATATATATATATATATATATATATATATATATATATATATATATATATATATATATATCAAGGTTGCAAAACACGTTAGGCGTCGATTTATTTAATTTTTTTTATTTTTTTTAAAAAAATTAAAATTGAAAATTGTGAAATTCACTAATAAAATATAAGGTTGCCCTAGTTTTTTCTTACAAATTACTTACATAAGTGGTTGTAAAATCGTTTTGAATATTGTTGAAATCATCTAAATACATAAAAAAAAATTAAAATTAAGAGCAAAAGAAGCATTTTTTTTGGAGAAATTAGAGGGACAAACCGCCTAAACGGAGAAATTAGAAGCATTTGTTAAAAAAATACGCGATTTAAAAAAAATTCAAAACGGACAACCGAGTCAAAAGTCCCCGAACTTTTAACACTTAAAAAAAATTAAAATATACGGCCGAACCGGCCGGCCGGCCGTGGAGGAGGCCGATTCCAACCTTCCTCGCAGCGGCCGCCTAACGCCTAGGCGCCAATTAATCGGCACCTAGGCGCGATTTTTGCAACCATGATATATATATATATATATATATATATATATATATATATATATATATATATATATATATATATATATATATATATATATGTGTGTGTGTGTGTGTGTGTGTGTGTGTGTGTGTGTGTGTGTGTGTGTGTGTGTGTATATATATATGGTAGGGTTCCAGTGAGAACATGTGCTTTGGTGAGAACGTGAGAACACATCATGTGCATCTATCTAATATTTTTTAATGGTCTAGATTAGATTAAGTGTGTGCGAACGCGTATTAAATGTGTGCAAACACATTAAATCGCGTTTGCACACATTTAATGCGCGTTCGC